GCCACAGCTGAGGATCCGAGTCCAGCTCCAGAACCCACGGCTGAGGATCCGAGTCCAGCTCCAGAACCCACGGCTGAGGATCCGAGTCCAGCCCAAGCGACTGAGGCAGCAGTGATCTCACAGTCTGCAGAGGAGAAAGAGACCGGCGCAGTCGCTCCAGAGGGTAATGCATGGGAACATGGGCAGATCAGCTCTAGACACTGTCTGGGTCAGAAATCCAGAAATGAGCTCTAATTAATAACACATCTGCAGAAACAACCTCTACTTTTAAATGATGTTTCTGATCATTTTGGAACAAAGCATCAGATGACAGGATGCTTGAGCAGTAAAATAAAGCTCTGGTCACACTGTAGTAAGGCAGTGCATAACTGATGCTGGGTAACAGAACAGAGATTGAGTAGAGTTCACTGCAGTCTAGACAAAGACATTACAGTACGACCCACCAGCACACTGAACATCTGCACCGTGCACAACAGCCTCGATGCTTCGTCACTCTTTGTGTCGCGCCAGAAACCACAATAATCTTGCTCTCTGTTGCCTCAGATTATGTCAGATGAGCGCACACGGCGCTGGGCCGTGCCACAGTACTGCTTAACACAAGCTTGAATGGAAATCAGTATTCATATTTTGATTCTGATACAACCATTTGTTTGAAATATGAGCAGGTGTGTGAGAGTGAGACACTGAATTCACTACATGCGTGTTTGTGTGCTTTTTCCGGTTATTTGGGCTGACTTATTGTTTTGACGCTCACAGACACCCTGACAAACACCACACGTAGAAGAACAACAAACTTACTGCAGGTGAAGATCTCAAACCAAACGTCTCTGTGAAACACCTGAAGACTGGTCTCCCGGTTAGGGTTAGTTCGGGTTAGTGTAGCAGGTTTAGTTACAGAGACAGACGGGTGAATGTCACTGACTTCTTAAAGATCTGGCTGAAGATCTGAAGATTATTGATCATTCAGAAGACATGTAGTGCACCAGAGATGCAGTATGGTGCATATGTATATTCCAGTTTATGAAAATATAATATTAAAGAAATGCAAACGAGTATAAAACAGCAAAGCATCAGCTCAACACGCGTCTGTACCGAATCGGAATGGTTCTGATGTATATCGTGCTGAAACGGTTGCTGCTGCTGACGGACAGAAATCAGCAGCATGTTTCTTGTGTGTTTGCAGGAGCCACCGGTGAGGAGAGCGCAGCACATGCAGCTGGTGAGACGCTCCTGCAGGGGTCAGAGGTCAAACCCTCAATCTTCACACTACAGCCAATGATTTCTGCTAAAAATATATGCAGATGAATGAGGATATCTAAAGCCATTAATATGGAATAGTTTCTTCATCAGTATGTGGGTCTGAGTTATGAGTATGAGTTATGTGGGTCTCATTTGTATATCATGAAACTGTTTTGTTTGAATGAAATAAGCACAAGCCCTTTCGTGCTAACCGTTATGTTTGTGTTTCAGTGGTCGGTAAAGATGGAGCTGATCTGAAATCCACAGAACCTGCAGATTGATGGCAGTGTGATGCTGTAAGACGTGCCTTTTATTTCAGTAGACATGAGGGTTTGGGCTTCACATAAGTTTGTAAATAAATTAGTGTTTCTAAGTAGTGTTAGCATCATTAGCATTGTTGTTAAAGCCACAGAAATGCCTCTGAGAGCGCGGGTCCCGTGGGTAACCGGCCGAGCGTGGGACGAATGTTTGTGCCACTGGATAAAATCACAGCATCATGTCCACATCTTCAACTGAGTCAAACTCAACAACAATGTTAACTCATCTGAACAAACACGAGCCAAAATGAGCCAAATTATTATTAATAATGTGTCTTTTAATGGGTCAGAAGGGCTTCGTCTCTTTTATGTATTTAGTGCATCTTTCTCCTCAGACTGCAGATGTAAAGCAGTTTGACTCTTTACTTGCATTAATCAAAGGCAAACGGTAGTATATTAATCAATAGTATATGTTGTTGGGTTATTTTAGTATTGTTTGTGGTGACTGATAGTTACTGGAGCACTAATAAACCTCATCTGATTAGCTTTAAATCTGTGACACTGGAAGGAAAGCAGTTGCTCAGTGAATCATATCAGTGTGAAAACATGAAAGTTGAGCTCTTTATACAAATAAATCAAGCTTTTAATGAACTATGACATGATCTCTGCACGTCTCCTGTATGTGTCTTTTTTACATTTATATGTGCACAGAATAAATACAAATACTGTTACTAATAAAATACTTTTGTAGTGATTTGTCTTTCATAAAGATCAGTGTGCAGATGTGTGGTCGTCTGGAGAACATTGCAGCGGATCTCAGTAAAATCAGTGAGAGCCAGACAGAAATGAGAGCCAACTCAATCAACTATAACTAACACACACACACACACTCTCTCTCACTCACACACACTCATATACACACACACACACACACACACACAC